TCCTAGTTGTACCCAACTCCTTTCTAGTCAAGCATTCCGTTGTTCGCTAACTTTGAGATCTTAGTATGTATCATTAGCGCATACGGTAACTCAAAACTATTTCCAAAACTATCCTTGGCGGACCTCACACACTTCGCTTCCAACCAGGCCCATAGATTTCTTTTGGGTCACGCTGAAAATCAGAGTAGTCACACGATGTACGCTGACAATCAACCAAAAACAGCCCAAAACCCCATTTTCACACTAGAACACTACTGGGTTTTCTTGAAAAGGGGCTGAAATTCAACCTTGGGTCAGAAAAAAAACGCTGAAAAAAGGCTCAATCATCGTAAAAGGGCTGCAATCTGAGGCCCTGCTTCCTGTTGGAAACAAGTAACTTAACGCTTCTGATGTGTCGAAACACCGAACTACAAACGAGGCGAACTACAGAGGAACAACGGCAAGTCAACGATCGGAGGTTGACAAGTGAAGCAACCGCTGGAGGTTACGCGAAGGTCAAAGGTCAGCGACCTTTGACTTGACAAATAAAGCACGACAGCAAGGACAAACAACTGACTCGATACTGAGCAGTTGCCCGAGTCGTCACTGTATCAAACCGCAACAGCAACAGTAAAACAGTTATTAGCTGCACCTTTTCATATTCCTTGTACTCTTATAAAAGCTTGTATCTTCTTGCTTGAATCAATTCATCTTGCCCTCACATACTAGCGCAAGGTGGTTCAACACTTGTCATTAAAACGCTTTCGCAACTACAAATACTACTACTCAGAGTTTAGCCTTGTAAAGATCATAAGGGCTTTTCTCAGCCCAACACTTCCAACTCATTCAAGTTTTGGGGAGGTGGGGTACACGTCCCTCGGTGCCGAGTACTACTGTCCAAGTGCTCTCTCGTAAGCAATCACAGCCACGATTGAGACTGCCACTGAGAATCTTGCCCGACACCTCTCCCCATGGTTGACCGCATCGCACTTGAAGAACTGACCCAGGAGCGCCTCGACGGTCGCCAGCTTCACGAGCATGCGCTCGAAATTGCAACATTGACGGCTGAACGCGGGTCCCATCATGGTATCATAAGTAGGTTAGGTCGCCACTTCCGATTCTCCTACCCTAGCCCGACCCTAGCCCGCCCCTAGTATTAACTAGCGTGCCCCTAGCGCGCCCATAGAGCGTCTCGAGAGCGCCCTAGGCGCCCGTCGCGCCCTGCCCTAAGCCGCCGTCGTGCCCTGCTAGCCACGTCACCTCGTCGCCCCGTCGCCCCGCTAGCCCTGTCGGCCCTTCGTGCCTTGCTAGCCCCGTCTCCCCGCTGGCCCCGCTAGCCCGTCGCCCTGCTGGCCTCGTTGGCCCCGCTAGCTTGTCACCTTGCTAGCCCCATTTGCCCCACTAGCCCGTCGCCCTGCTGGCCCCGCTGGCCCAAGCGCCCTGCTAGCTTGCTGTCCCGCTGGCCCCGCTAGCCCCGTCGCCCTGCCTGCTCGTGCTGCTGCCACCAGCGCACTCGCACGCCCGCGCCAAAGCGCCCGTAGCGCAAGCCCCTGCCCTGCCCGCGCGCACGCACGGCCTGAGCCGCCCGCACTGCCCGCACTGCCCGCGCCACCCACGCCGCCAACGCTGCTCGCGCCACCCGCGCTGACCGCGCCGCTCGCGCTGCCCGCGCCGCCTGCGTTCGTGCCTACCGCCGGCGTGCCTGCTGCGCCCGAGATTTTGGGTTTCGGCTTGGTGTAAGCCTGTACACCGTCTCTTCGCCTACTGTACGCCTAATGTATGCCTACTGTACGCCTGTTATTGCACCTACCTGCACCTACTGCCATGCCTGCACCTACTGCTCGTACCCCTCATGTCCTCCTGCTATGTCGTCTGAGTCCCTCTGCACTTCGATGCGGAGGGCCGTGCGGTGGATTTTCCGTCGTGGCTGATCGAGGTCCATCTCTCCCTACAGAGTCAAATCTAGCAGAATGTCTCGCTGTACGAGCATGCTACCGGTGAGCTCTCAGCCCCACTCTGTCCTGATGCACCTCCTGCTACTACCACTGCTGACGAGCAGAAGGCGTTCCGCACGGCTCACCTGGAGTTCACGCAGTGGAGGGCGCACGACGCGGCTGCGCGACTCACTATCGCTCGTCACCTGCCGCAGACTGAGGGGTATCACTTCACTCAGGTGAAGACGGCGAAGGAGTTTCTGGATGTTGTTATCACGCGCTATTCCACTCTCTCTACTGCTACTCTATGCCACCACATACTGCCCTTCCTCTTTCCTGACCTCCCTTCCTCGCGCACTGTCGCTGAATCTGGTTACGCACCTGCGCTCCCTAGACGCTACGCACTGTTTGCACTCCTGCACTGTCGCGACGTCTTCCTTGCTGTACACCCCAGAACCCTCACTATTGACCTCTTTGAGTCGTGTCTCACTAATATCGAATCTAGTCTCCGCGCCATCGCCGCCTCCTCTTGTACTGTGCCCCCCCCCCCCCAATCTTTGAGGGGTGTGCCCCGTCCCTTCTTCCTAGCCCTGCAGCCTCGGCCTCTGTTGCTGATCCTGCTCCTTCGACGAAGTTTGCAGCAGTTGCTGCCTCCGATAGCAAGGGTGGTCGCAAGAGTGGTAAGAAGGGTGGAGGGGTGGAGGAGGTGGAGGTGGCGGAGGTGCTGGGGCGTCTGGAGGTGCTGACGCTAGAGGTGGTACAGGGTCTGGTGGTGCGGCTGGTGGAGGTCTTGGTCCTGGGGGTGTGATGGTGCAGCAGCTGCTGTTGCAGCCGCACAAACTGCACCAGCAACAGCGACAGTTTCAGTAGCAGTAGTCGCAGCAGTTTCAGCCGAGGGACCCGCAGCAGTTCCAGCAGCAGTAGTGGGGCTCTGTCGGCCCCGGGAGCACTGGCCATGACCGTGGGCCCTGCCATCACGTGATCCAGACTGGTCCACGCGCAGGCCAGGGCTGCGCTCGTCTTGATCACTCCACTGCGCGGTGCTTGAGCCGCCTCTCTGACCTCTACCGAGGCCGCCACGGGCTTGCGGTGCAGGTCCCGGACTGGGCCGCATTGCTTCGCCGTGACCTACCTATCCTTATTATGGATATGTCTGCTGTGCATGCTGCTTTGTTTTCTAGACATGTGATGTATGATGCTGAGTATAGTTTTGATGTATGATCTTTTGTTACAATGGGAACTATCGAATGAATGAACTAGAAGTGAAAGTAAAAACAAGATATAGGTCAAGGCTAACCCTAAACCTAGGACAAACGGAATTCACCTAGACTATAACTAACCAAACTATATAATTATAGTTTGACACACCCCCATAGTCTAGGTGACGATAGTCCTGTGGAAAGCAACACAAATCTAAGGGTGGATCACGAAGTCACCACATAGTCCGAGAGCAAGGGTCACAGGACCAGTCAGCAAGAACAAGCAACGGTCACAAGACCAGTCCATTAGAACAAAACAATTTGTAGGGTGGATCTCAAGTTCATCACACAGCCCGAGAACAAGCAAGAGGTCACAAGGCCAGTCCACATGCAATGATACCGCAAGTATAAGAGAAGCAAGACAAGCATCTCTACGCAAGCAAGTGAGGGCCTGTAGACACAAGGCCTAACTGGGTGCAGAAACGCTAGTGGTCACGAGGCGGCAACGCCTTGGTGAATATATATGCAGTGTTGGCCTCAGAGACCACACTGGCGACACGGGCCTGGCCATGCTACTGCAACTCGCGCAAAAGGAAGTAATGAAGCTGGATGTGCTTCGCCTTCCCAACCAGTCGAGGCTCCTCGCACAACAGGACAACAGACATGTTGTCAGTGAACAAGACGGGGGGAGAGCGAGGCCGCTCACCAAGGTCGGTGAGGAGGAAAGTCAGCCAGCGAAGCTCCTGAGCGGCCATGGCCGCAGCATACACCTCTGCACCACAGCTGGAGACGGACGACGCCCAAGTAGACCTCCACGAAACATCACATGTCCCGAGGCTGAAGGAGTACCCCAGTGTAGACCGCAGCGTCTGAGCGACGTCGGCCCACGACGAGTCCGAGTAACCTGTGAGTGTAATTGGCTACTGCCCTCCAAGGACAAGTCCCATGCCTGATGTACTCGCCACATACTTCGCAACCCTCTTAGCAGCCAACCAGTGGGAAGGTCGGTGTCTTCCCGGCGCAACAAAGCGAGCAAGTACGCTGAGAGGGAAAGCCAAGTATGAGTGAGTACATGTCATCAGGTACATGAGACAACCCACCAACTCGGGATATGGACCACTGGACTCAAATGACTCGTCCGAAGGTGGAGCCATGGGCCCATGATCCATAGTAAACCAGGTCCTCCTTCACGAAGGCAAGTGCACGTCGGTCGGGAGTGGCGAAGACCAGGTCGTCAACGTAAACCAAAACAAAGAACGGGGTCGAGCCACGGCGGACGAACAGTGACGGGTCGGCAGACGACGGAAAGAAGTCAAGCGCTACAAGAGTCGTGCGAAGAGTGTCGTGCCACTCGCGGGGAGCCTGGCGCAGGCCGTAGACTGGTCGATGCAGCTGCCACTGGATCCCAGCAGGAATAGAGCTTGTGAAGCCAGGCGGACGACGCAGCCCGATCTGCTCGTGCAGGCTCCCCTAAAGGAATGCTGTGGAGAAGTCCAAGTAGTGCAACTCGTGGTCGCGCTGGGCTGCAATATGCAGTAACACCTGAAGAGTGGTCATTGTGAAATTACGAGGAATGAATTGACTAAGGGAAAGTTGGGTACAAAAGCAAACCCTAGAAAACTGTACCCCATATGTGCTACCCCACTATAGCCTACAGTAGCTATGTCATATAAATCTGACACACCCCCATAGGCAAAGTGGGGGAGAACAAGGGGTCACAAGACCAGTCAAGCAAAGCAAAGCAAGCTCAGGGTGGATCACAAAGTCACCACACATTCCGAGCACAAGTTCAAGGCCACAAGGCCAGTTCACATGCAGGATTGCATATATATATAAGGCTAGACAAGCAAGAGCAGGAGTATATATATATGCAACAGTACAAACAAGGTCAAGAGGTGAGCAAGTGAGGCAAGGTAGGTACAAGACCCAGCTGAGTACAGAAGCGCTGATGATCACAAGGCGCAAGTGCCTTGGTGAAGATATCAGCAGTGTTGGCCTCAGAGGCCACGTACGCAAGTCGCAGCTGACCACGCTGCTGTAGCTCACGAGCAAGGAAGTAGCGAAGAGCAATGTGCTTCGTTCTGTGCTCCAGTCTCTGCTCTCGACACAAGGCCAGCATGGCCTTGTTGTCTACGTAGAGCACTGGAGGAGAACGAGGCGGCTCTCCGAGGTCAGTCAGCAGGTAGGTGAGCCAGCGAAGCTCCTGTGCAGCCATGGCCCCGGCGTAGATCTCAGCCTCACAACTAGAGCCGAGAACAGAAGACGAGCGAGTAGCCCGCCACGAAACAGAGCCGGAACCAGGGCTGAAGGTGTAACCCTGTGACGACCGCTGCGTAGCCTGGTCGTCAGCCCAAGAAGCGTCTGCGTGTCCAGTGAGGACCACTGGACTCTGCCCTCCAAGCACAAGCCCCATGCCCGACGTACTGCACAAGTAGCGCAACACCCTCTTCGCTGCAGCCATGTGCTCCGGTCTGTGTCTCCCAGGAGCAACATAGCGTGCAAGAATGCTAAGAGGGTATGCAAGGTCAGGTCGTGTGCAGGTCATCAGGTACATGAGGCAGCCAACAAGCTCTGGGTACGGGCCACTCGACTCTACGGACTCATCCGAAGGCAGAGCTGAGAGCGAGTGGCGAGTAGGCAGAGGAGTGGCCTGAGGCGAGGAGTACGTGAAGCCGAAGCGCTGAAGGACCTGCTGCACCATGTGTGACTGAGTCAGGGTAATGGTGCGGCGTGCTCTGTCCCGGGTGATCTGCAAGCCAAGGTAGCTGCGCAGTTCACCCAGGTCTGTGCACGTGTGTCTCTTCTGCAGCTCGGACTTCACGTGGGCGAGTCCAGCAGTGTCAGCTGTGGCAAAGACCAAGTCGTCGACGTACACGAGGATGTAGAACGGCTGCAAAGAAGTGTCGGTGCGCAGAAACAGCGACGGGTCGGCAGTAGAGGGAGCAAACCCAAGAGCCGCAAGTGTAGTCCTCAGTGTGTCGTGCCACTCACGCGGTGCCTGGCGGAGACCGTAGACTGGCCGCCGGAGGCTCCACTGGGTGCCAGGAGGAAAAGACCCAGTGAAGCCAGGTGGGCGACGCAGCCAGATCTCCTCGTGCAGGCTGCCCTGCAAGAAAGCAGTGCTGAAGTCAAGAGAGTGCGGCTCGTAGTCGCGGTGAGCAGCTATGTGCAGCAGTACCCGAAGAGTGGTCATCTTCGGGGTGGGAGAGAAGGTCTGAAAGTAGTCAACTCCCTGCCGCTGACTGAAGCCACGAGCCACGTAACGCGCCTTGAAGACAGGCGGAGAACCCGGCGGCCGCTTCACCCTGAAAATCCACATGCCACTGACGATGTTCGCCCCAGGCGGGGGAACCTCGTCAACGTAGGTGCCTGTGGACTTCCAGGAAGCCATCTCTGCGTCCATAGCTGCCTGCCACTGAGAGGAGTAGGGACCCTCTATCGCCTCCGCGTAAGAGCGCGGAGTCGGGATGTCAAGTGCATCCGGGTCTCCCTCAGGGGTAAGCAGTACGGACACGAGATGAGGTGAAGCAGCAGCCAAACACTGGAACTCCTCCTGCCTGTCCTCAAGGACGTCCGTGCCAAGGGCACACTCACCCCCGACGGACGGAGGACAGACAGACTCAGACTCAGCAACAAGACTAGCAGCGTAGTCTAGACGACAGCGAGCAGCAAAGTCGACGAGCTCAGTAACTAGGGCAGACGCAGCAGTGGACTCAAAGGAAGGGTCAGTGACAACAGTAGCAAGGAGACGCGTGACAGTAGGACTGGCAGCACGAAGAGAGTCCGACTCCGGGTCAGGAAGAGCAGGAAGAGAGGACTCAGGAGGAGAAGGCAAAGGGGCACGCAGAGGAGCAGTGGACGGACGCAGAGACATCCGGTGCGTGCCAGGGACAGGAGGAGGACGCTGACGCGAACCACGAGCACTAGTGCGAGCAGCACGGACAGGCGACGCAGGGCGAGACGCAGGCTCACGACGCTCAGCAAGACCTCCAGTAGGACCAGTGTAGGGAGAAGGAGCGGGCAGTGGGGAGGCCGGCTGTAACTGTAACTGTGACGGGACAGGCTGTGGACACGCTAAGGGAGGAGGAGGACCAGTAGAAGGCGGGAGACCAAGAACCTGCTGAAGGAGCGGAACGAAGTACGGCCGAGGCCGCGCGGCGACTCCAGACACAGCAGGGACAGCACCAGTACCCCCAGCGGCAGCACCAGCGCCAGCAGCACCTCCAGCTCCAGTACCTCCAGCAGCACCAGTAGCACCCCCAGCAGGACCGCCTCCAGGACCGACAGCAGTAGCCTCAGCGCCAACACCCTCAGCAGCTCCAGCTCCAGTCGTACCCGCAGGCCCAGCAGCTCCAGTACTCCCAGTACGAGCACCTCCGGGACCCGCGGCACCAGCACCCTCAGCAGCCGAAGAACCTCCAGCTCCAGCAGCACGCCTCCAGCGCCGGGCAAACCACTCGCGCAGCTCCTGTGGAGAGAGTGGCTCCCGCCGAGACGAAGCACCCGGAGAACCTCCAGGCTCAGCACCGCCAGACGCCACACGAGCAGGCCCAGCTCCCTCAGGCTCCGCACCCCCAGGCTCAGCACCTCCAGGCGTAGCACCCCCAGGCGTAGCACTCCCAGGCTCAGCACCCCCAGGCTCAGCACCCCCAGACGTAGCACCCACACGCTCAGCACCCCCAGAGTCAGCACCCCCAGGCTCAGCACCCTCAGCAGCACCAGAGTCACCAGTAACCTCGACAGGCTCGACTGCGTCTACCTGGGACACACCTGAAGGGGCAGGACCCTGAGGGGGGAGGGGGTCTACCGGGGGGGGACCTGGGACAAGGAAGAGCGGTGGCGGGGGGAGGGACGGAGTGCGGTAGGGGAAGAGGCGGTAGTAGGGGACCGACTCGTCAAACGTGACGTCCTGGGAGGACAGGACACGGCGAGAGGTGGGGTGGTAGAACTGCCACCCTGGCGCGTCAGGGGGGAAGCCAAGGAAGACGCAAGGAGCAGCACGAGGGGACAGCTTGTCCGCAGACAAGTCGCGGACAAACGCCCGAGATCCCCAGACACGGAACGCAGACGCATCGCCAACCTTCCCCGTCCACAGCAAAGCTGGGGAGGTCTCCGGCATGGAGACCCTGGGGTGAAGGTTGATCTGATGCGCCGCGTACCGAACCGCAAACGGCCACAGAAAATGGGGGGCAGCCGCATGCATCATGGACGTACGGGCGACGTCCATGACCATGCCAATGCGGCGCTCAGCAATCCCATTTTGCTGTGGAGAGTCCGGAAGCGTGAAGGTCTGGCGGATGCCTCGTGCACGACAGTAGGCTCGCAGAAGGCCAGAGGAGAACTCTCCACCTCTGTCAGAGTGCAGACGCTGAACAGGAAAGTCCGAGCCGAAGCTCTGCCTGAGCTGGAGACGAGCTGCGCGGATCCAGTCGATCAACACCTCAGTGACATCACCCTTGCTGCGCAAGGGGAAGACTGTGGTGTAACGCGAGTAGTCGTCAACCACCAGCAGGAAGTAGCGCTCGTGACCCTGTCCACGGACGCGGGCCGGGCCCCACACGTCCATGTGAAGCGTCTGCAGCGGGGCCTCTGTCGGAGGAAACTGGGAGGAGTGAGGGGCAGCCCGCTGCCGCCCCTCGACACAGGGGACGCAGGTAGGGCCAGGCCCCAAAGGAAGGGGAGGGAGGGACCGGGGAAGACCAGAGACAAGGACACGGGAGGCCATGCCTCGGAGACGAAGCTGGGAGGGGTGACCAAGGCGGTGGTGCCAGAGGAGAGTCTCGTGAGACAGAAGGCGACACGAACAGGGGGCAGACTCAGGACCAGACCTGGACGCTGCAGCAAACACCTGACCCGACGCAGCTACCTGACCAGACGCAGTGACTGGAGGAGACGCAGTGGTCAGTGTGTACAGGCTCGACCCCGGCCGACGTGTAAACGTGGCCAGGTGTCGGCCTGTCTGAGCGTCCGTGCAGTGGGTCACCCGCTGACTCGCAGGAGTGAACTGGTGAACCCCCGCATCCTGTAGGTCAGCACCACTCACCAAGTTCGTAGAGAACGAGGGGAGGTAAAGACCAGACAGGGTGCCAGAGGGGGCCGCCGGACACGGGAGGACAGTGGAGAAGTGAGCAAGGACAGGACCCCCAGAGGGGTCTGCCAGAGAGACTGCAACTGGCCGGCCAAGCGGCGTGAGTGTGGTGCGGTCTCGAAAGAAGCCCCCGAGTCAAGGGTGAAGGTGTGGGAGGCCGAAGCCGACGCAGTACCTGAGAGAGCAGACTCACCAGCACCTGAGGGAGCAGACGCACGAGCACCTAGAGTAGCAGCCTCGCTAGCACCTAGAGCAGCAGCCTCACCAGTACCTAGAGCAGCAGTCTCAATGCCCGGGTCGGGCGGAAAACACCGGTAACAGTCACCCTCATCACTAATAGTCACAGCATACATGGCAGCAAGAATAGCATCAAAGTCAAGGTCAAAGACAGCTACACCCGCCCTAGACAGCTCGCCCCAGCGAGGGATCTCAGTGGCCTCAGGGAACTGGTGTCACCAAGCGTCCGTCAGGCGGCCAAAGCAGCGCTGGGTGGAGTGCGCACCCCCGCACTGCTCACCCGCGCGGTCGCCGGTGCGTAGGACGTAGGTGCACGGACCAGTACCCCCACCCCGCTGGCGTGAGTATACCACTCACGGAGCTGCTGAGGGGGGGGGATGTCACGAGTGCGCTGCTGCCGCTGCTGCTGCTGCTGCTGGCGCTGACCACCACCGGAGCCGACCCTCTGTGCAGCGCCACCCCGACCAGCTCCACCTCCTCCGCCGCCGCCTCCTCCACCGCCGCCACCTCCGCCACCTCCGCTCCCACCGCCACCGCCGCCGCCGCCTCCGCCTCCACTGCCGCCACCGACACCTCCACCCCCGCCACCACTCCCACCACCACCCCCACCCCCTCCACTGCCGCCACCGCCACCTCCGCCACCCCCGCCAGCCCCTCCAGCACCCTTGCCCCCCTTGCCCTTGCCGGTGCGGCGTCTCCCGCTTGGGGCAGACGCAGCGCCGACCGACTCGAAACCAACGAGGTCGGCCGCAGCAGCAGAGGCAACAGAGGGCAAAAGGGGGGAGGGGGAACACCCCTCAAAGACGGGGGTGCGAGGGTCACCACGAGAGGCTCCTACAGCGACTATGCTCTTCTCTGCTGCTAGGAGGGCCTTCTCGAGGAGGTCAACGGTGAGAGTGGTGGGGCAAACTGAGAGGAAGTGGTCCCTGACTACGCGAAGGGAGTCAGGGAGCCGGGTGACTATGTAGTAGAGGGTGATGTACATGGGGGGGGGGTTCTTGGCGCAGAACTCGGCAGTTGCTGCTGCAGGGCCGGCGGCGGCCGCTCCTGTAGGGACGGCGGCGGCCGCGGGTGCAGTGGCGGCGGGTGCTGCTGCAGGGGCGGCAGATGCTGCTGCTGCTGGGACTGCGGCCGCGGTCGCTGTAGCGACTGCAGCTGCTGCTGCTGTAGAGGCGGCGACGGCGGGCCGAGAGAGGCCGCGAAGGGCGGCGGACGGGCCGTGAAGGGCGGCACGAGGGGCCGCAGAGGGCGGCGACCGGCCGTGAAGGGGCCGGGAGTGGCCGCGGAGGGCGGCGACGGGCCGTGAAGGGCGGCGCGAGGGGCCGCGGAGGGCGGCGACCGGCCGTGAAGGGGCCGCGAGTGGCCGCGGAGGGCGGCGACCGGCCGTGAAGGGGCCGCGAGTGGCCGCGGAGGGCGGCGACGGCCGTGAAGGGCGACGCAAGGGGCCGCAAAGGGCGGCTACGGGCCGTAGGGGGCCGTAAGGGCGGCGCGAGGGGCCGGAAGGGCGGCGCGAGGGGCCGTAATGGCGGCACGAGGGGCCGTCAGAGGGGCCGCTAAGGGCGACGCGAAGGGGCCGTAAGGGGCCTAGAGAGGGCGCGACGGTAGGGAGGGCACGCGGGGCGCGACTCGGGCAGGAGCGAAGCGCGCTCCGGGCAGGAAAAAAAAAATTCGATTGGTGGGCCCTAGGAAGCGTTCCCACGAGGGAACCCGCTCTATACCATGTGAAATAACGAGGAATGAATTGACTAAGGGAAAGTTGGGTACAAAAGCAAACCCTAGAAAACTGTACCCCATATGTGCTACCCCACTATAAATCTGACAGTCATCTTTGGGGTGGGAGCGAAGGTTTGGAAGAAGTTTACCCCCTCTCGCTGACTGAAGCCTCTCGCCACGTAGCACGCCTTGAACACCGGTGGTGCTCCAGGCGGCCGCTTCACCTTGTAGAGCCACATGCCACTGACGACGTTCGCCTCGGGTGGTGGGACTTGCGTCGAAGTAGGTGCCTATGGATCTATAAGATGCCATCTGTGCCTCCTCAGCTGCTATCCAGTACGAAGCGTAAGGTCCCGAGACCGCCTCGGCGTGAGTGCGAGGGATCGGGATGTCAAGGGCGTCTGGATCCCCCTCAGGGGCAAGCAGCATGGCGCAGAGATGAGTAACAGCGGCCGCAAGGAAACCAAGCTCGAACTGCCGGTCCTCCAGGACCTCTAGGGAAAGACAGGAGCCCCCCTAGTGAACAGAGAAAGAGAAGTGTTGCTCACCAGGTGGGCGGTGTAGTCAAGGTGGTGGGACGAGGCAAAGGCACCAAAGACAGCAACAAGAGCCGAGACAGACGACAGAGGGGCTGTCGGATGAGTGACCAACGAGGAAAAAACACAGGAGACGACAGTACGGGAGGCACGGAGGTAGTCGGACAACGGGTCAGGAGACACAGTAAGGGACAACTCAGGAGGCTGCGGAAGGACCGTCGTCAGCATGGTAACGAGACCGGCGAGGCTCTGGAGACACAGCACGACTGAGTGGAGCACGACGAGTCCACGGGGACGATAAAAGGGACTGGATAGGGGGAACAGGAGGGGACGGTAAGGGACGGACCAAGCGTGCAGGTGCTGGGTCGGGCAGGCCTCTCAGTCGCTGCTGCTCCGCCTCATCTGGCGTCTGCTGCGGCGGAACCTGCCCCTGTTGCTTCTCTTGTTGCTCCGAGTGTGGCTCCTCCTCTGCCCTCTCCTGCAGCGGCTGCAACTGCACCTGCTGCTGCGGCCGTAACTCCTCCTCTACTCTCTCCTGGTGTGACACCAACTACACCTGCTGCTGCAGCCGTGACTCCTCCTCTACACTTTCCTGCTGTGGCTCTAACCGCACATGCTGCTATGGCTGTGGGACCTCCTCTACTCTCTCCTGATGCTGTGACTGAAATTGCTGCTGCTGCTGCTGCTGCTGCTGCCGTGCCCTCTCAAACCGCTCCTGCTCCTCCCTCTCCAACCGTAGAAGTAGCTGCTCACGGTTCAGGAAACGTACAGTGTGTGGTATAGGCGCCGAAGTACCAGCGCCTCCGGCTCCAGCACCCCCAGAACCAGAAACTCCACCAACAACACCCCCAGTGCCTCCTGTACCTCCCGCATGAACACCCCCAGCCTCCGCAGCAACCGGCCGCAAAGACGAATGAGGAGGGAACTGCGGGACAGACGGGAAGCCAGGGCGTGAGGCGGGGCGAGGCCGCCTACTCCAGGTTGCCGTATCCTCCACAGGAGTGGCCTCCACGCCCACACCCCCTGCACCCCCAGAGCCAGCACCACCATCTCCAGCAGCCCCAGTACCCTCACCCTCCACAGCTGCACCTCCCGCACCCCCAGACACAACAAGGGCTGGACGCTGCGGGGGAGACGACAGCGGAGTGACGTGCGACATACCTGATGGGGCTGGATGCGAGGGGCGGGGGGGCTACCGGGGCGGTTCGGGGGGGCACGGGTGGGAGGGAGAAGGCCTCGGTACCTCGGTGGGGGCGACCCTGGTAGTAATAGACTGACTCGTCAAATGTGGCGTCCTGGGAACTGAAGAACTGGTAGTTCACCGGGTCGTAGAACGCCCAGCCGGTGGCGTACAGAGGGAAACCAAGAAAGACGCAGGCACGGGTGCGAGGAGACAGCTTGTTCGTGCCAGGGGCGGGAACGTGAGCCAGAGAGACCCAGACACGGTACTTAGCTGCCTCACCTCGAGATCCTGACCAGAGAAGGATCGGCGTAACCCGTGGCCGTGCGTCACTAGGCCACAGGTTCAGCTGCTGAGCAGCGTAGCGGACTGCCTGGGTCCACAGGAACTGGGGGGCACCGGCATGGCACATGGAGGTTCGGGCAACCTCCATGACCAAGCCGATGCGTCGCTCATCTACCCCGTTCTGCTGCGGCGAGGCTGGTAGCGTGTAGGACTCGGTGGTCCCTTGAGCCCCAAAGAACGCCGCCAGACGAGTGGAGTCAAACTCACCACCACGGTCCGAGTGGAGACGGAGTCCACGAAGGCCCTGGGTGCCACCCCTCGCTAGTAGCCATGACTCTAGGACGTCAGGCACGTCGGCCTTCCATCGCAAGGGAAACACCGTGGTGTAGCGGGAGTAGTCGTCCACCACAATCAGGAAGAAGCGCTCCTGACGTGGGCCAAGGAATGGGGAGGGGCCCCAGACGTCCATGTGCAAGGATCTGTAACGGAGCCGTGTTGGGGGGGAACGAGGAGGAGTGAGGGGCAGCGCGCTGCCGACCCTCGTCGCAAGGAGTGCACGGCGGCGCAAGGAAGCGGGGAAGCGGGGCGAGCGACTCTGGGAGACCTGAGACCAGACGGTGACGTACCATACTACCGAGACACGGGAAGGACGGGTGACCTAATCGGTGGTGCCAGAGGACTGACGGGTGGGTGAGTGACCGACAGTCGTGAGACATGACCTGACCTGACCTGACCTGAGTGGTGAGACCCCGTGTGTAGTGAGTACCGACCAGAGCCTAGCTCCCTGTGAAAAGTGGCCAGAGGCGCCCCAGTGACAACGACTGTGCAGGAGGCAACAGGCTCGTCTAGAGGGAGAGTGATGACTACTCCGAGATCGTGGAGGTGACTGACACCCACGAAGTTCTTGGAGAACGAGGGAGTGTAGTAACCCGTGAGGACCCCAGAAGGAGCCGCCGGACACGGGAGGGTGATGGTGCTGTGAGCAACCACTGGTCCCACTGTGGAGTCAGCTAGGGCAACAGAGACAGGAGTGCAAAGCGGTGTGAGGTCGGTGCGGTCGCGAAAGAAACAGCCGGACGTCCCAGAGTCAAGCGTGAACGATATGGACTCAGCCTCGGTGGTCGAACCTGTGCAAGCTACGCTAGCAGGGAAAGCACTAGCAACATCTATAGCACCTGAGCTAGACAAACAAGAGGAATAACCAGAATGCTCAATTCTAAAATCATTAGCATACATCACAGAGACAGGTCGTACAACCTCATCTAACTCTGCAGCAGACATGCCAAACAGCTGCGGGCCAACTGTGCGGAGCAGTGAGGCCCAGTCGGGGACAGTGGCGCTGCAGCCAAAATGCGCGCGGCAGCGGTCGGTGAGCTGCGAAAAGCACAGACCCGGGGGGTGGTGGTGGTCACAGGGGCGGCTGTGGCGTGGCCCAGTCTGCACCCAGAGGTAACCGCCGCCGCCGCCACCCTTAGGCACTTTCTCGCGTAGGGGTTCATACAGCCATCTAGAACGCCTTGGGCAGCACCGATCCTTTTCGCACCCAAGAAAGACGGAGGGTTACGGATGTGCATAGATTACCGTGCACTGATCGCCGCCACCGTCAAGAACAGAATTCCGGTGCCGAGAGTAGATGATCTCCTAGATGCAGTGCAAGGCGCTAGAATCTTCTCAAAAATTGACCTTCGTTCGGGTTACCACCAGATTCGCGTAGTTCCAGAAGACCAGCACAAGACGGCGTTTCGTACGAAGCAGGGGTTGTACGAATTTAAGGTTCTACCGTTCGGTTTGACCAACGCCCCGGCGACGTTTCAGACACTCATGAACACCGTCCTCTCTGAGTTCCTAGGGCCGTTCGTCGTAGATTACGTGGAAGACATCCTCATCTTCTCGAAAACGAAGGAGGAGCACGTGCAACACTTGCAGAAGGTCTTCGAGGTCTTGCGGAGGGAGCAGCTGTACGCTAAGCAGTCGAAGTGCGAGTTCATCCTCCCCAAGGCCGAGTTTCTAGGTCACGTCGTATCCGCTAGTGGCATTAGGACCGACCCGAAGAAGATCGCAGCAGTGCAGGATTGGGTAGCTCCGACCTCAGTCAAGGAACTGCAGAGCTTTCTCGGATTTGCGAATTAATACCGTCGTTTCGTTTAGTCCACTCACCGACCTACTTCGGAAGGGAGTAGATTTCGATTGGGGTCTAGCGCAGCAGCAGGCGTTCGAGCAGATGAAGCAGTCGCTCACATCTTCACCGACACTGTCGTACCCAGATCCCAC